TATGGCAAGCTTTATCAAAAATTGATTCAGTCTGATTCATTAAGTCGTGTTTGGATGGACCAAATGCTCTAGTTCATGTATTAATACATCACAGGTATATAAAGTGCCTAATAAGCTCATTTGAGCTCATTTCTTTCATCTCCTTTACTGCCCAAATCTGAGAATTCATCTTAGAGAGAGAGTGCAATTTTAAAGAGAGAAAGGTAGAGATAAAGAGAAATTGAAGGCTTTGACTTGAGCTCACCAAGATTGTGCTTGAACAAGAGTAATTCAAGACTCTAGGTAAGATTACAACCTCTAGATTGTGTAACTAAGTCATTTAACATGAAATCTCTTCAAGATTATGAGTTTGATGTGTATATTGAGCTTAGAATAAAGATTTGAGTTGCAATTCATGCATGAATGTACATTTTCTTACAAATTGAGCATGATTTCCATGAATCCTCTCTTGCATGTTTGAAATTCATCTTCATTTGGGGAAATCATCAAGTTTCAAGTTGTTTTGTGGTGTTTGATCATGTTTTGGGAAGCTCAAGACCAAGAAAACCCATGCATGTTGTGTTCATGAACATTCATTGTGTTTTAAGTTGAAATTGTGAGTTTTTAACAAACTCTTGGGCCATGATTTTATGAAATAATCCGTAATTCTTCATGTTTTACAAATTTACTATGTTATCTCAAGTTTTGGGGCCCAAGAGATGTGTTTTGAAGTTTGGAATTCGAGTTTTGAGCTTAAAGGTGCAATCTGGAAATTCTAGAATTTGCATCTACGCTCGAGCGTGGGAGTTCACGCTCGAACGACCAATCTGAGTGCGTGCACTCCGCTCGAGCGACCAAAAGTCCGCTTGAGCGTGAATTGCATGCTGCCAGAAGTTTCATGTCTTTTACAGATCACTCGAGCGAAGGAATATGCGCTCGAACGACCATTCACATTTTGCATGTCCGCTCGAGCGAGGAAATCTACGCTTGAGCGTGAACTTTATTTTCAGAAATTTTGCCTAAGTGTTCCAAGGCATGTTTTGGCATCCTCATTGCATCTTAGGCATTCCTAAGACCTAATTAAGCTTTGATAATGAGGTTATGGATTAGAAACAGCCTATGTTTGGCAAGTGGGTTTGCAGGCTTTTTTGGCTATTTTAGCCACAAAAAACAAAATAGGCTATTTTAGCTATAACAAACAAAACATCACATCCAACCCATAATCATTACATTCTTCTCTCACAAAAAAACTCAAAAAAGTCAAAAAGCCAAAAAGCCCTTCCCAAACCAAGCTTTTAAGCCCAGGCTAAAATAGCCAAAAAAGCCAAAAAAGCCAACCCACTTCCCAAACGGAGGCTAAGGAATGAATGTACTAAGTCAAGGAATTTCAAGTGTATATGTGTGTGTGTTTAAGCATGTGATAAGAAAGAATAAGAACCAATGTAATAAAAGCTAAGTCTTAATGGCCACTTGAATGTGTAATGATAAGGCATGCTTGTGTTATGTATTTTGTGATTGTAGGTCAAGACTCGATGATTGATTAACTATTGCTGGAACCACTGTGAGGAACGTTATTGTAAAGATACGTTCATATGAATTATGTTCCAAATGAAATGTGATAAGCTATGATTTCTTAAATGATATCTATTTACGTGAACGAACATCTCAAGTTTGAAATCTATCATGGCATCCATAGATAATCCCAAGTCATGGGGGACGACATGAAAATGCGGGTCCGTGACATACAAGTTTACGAGATCTCGTTAGCCACTTCATTGTGGTGATATGTGTTTAATCGATATCCGGAACTGATTACTTTAGTCGGAAGACGTTATGTGAGGTGTTCTATGGGATGTACCATTATTATGTTCTGATATGAGAATGATTATGCTCTGGTCTGTTTTCTACTTATGATATATTTGGATTTCGTTCACTAATCCCTTTACCTTAATGTTATTCTCTGGGCTTTAGCTCATTGTGTGTATATATATGTATAGGTGAACATTCTGGAGCCCGAGCCTGAAGGCTTTTTGTCTGGATCTGTGTTCCGTTGTCAGCCAACAATTGTGCCTCACGTTTATTATGTTCTGATATGAGAATGATTATGCTCTGGTCTGTTTTCTACTTATGATATATTTGGATTTCGTTCACTAATCCCTTTACCTTAATGTTATTCTCTGGGCTTTAGCTCATTGTGTGTATATATATGTATAGGTGAACATTCTGGAGCCCGAGCTTGAAGGCTTTTTGTCTGGATCTGTGTTCCGTTGTTAGCCAACAATTGTGCCTCACGTGGAGGTTCCTGAAGCGTCCTGTGTTTAAGTTCTGTGGTTTCTGTTTATTTAAGACTTGATTTGATGTCATTGGTTGTACTTAAGATACTATAATGTATGTGGGTATAATGTATGAATGACTATTGCATACTTATAAAAAGTTTTTAAATATTCCGTTTCATATAAGTCAACACAGCTCATTGGACAATTATATTTATGTATTAGCTTCCGCTAGCCCCTTAATTTTGTTAATCTGTTCAGAGGCCTTCGGTAATCCAAGGATTACTGGCCGACTACGATGCTAAACCTACAGGGGCGGGATTGGGTCGTGACAATTATCAACTCTACTATTTCCAGTAATACAACTCAATTTCTCCATATAATGTTGGAAAGAAGCAATAGTTGGTGCATAAGCACATTTAACTAATATTTTCATCAAAGTTAGCTTATAGTTAGTATGAAGTCCCACCAATTTGTCAATCAAACTTCTCTTCAAATATTTTCAAGCAATATGCATGATGTGCATTGGAAAAAATCACTAAAAGAGTGTCTAGCAATCCATGTTGACAGTTGGACACAAAGGTCAATCTCCGGATTGAATAAACAAATTTCAACAATTAACTTAAAAACTGTATACAATTATCTTGATTTTCAGCATTAACAATCGTAAAAGCCAAAGGAAACATGCCTGAAAACAAAATAACACGAAACTACAAAAATTAACAAACTCACAATACAATAACAGAAACCAAAATCCACCGACTATCAAGACACATTGACAAACCAAAACTATACTAACTACAAATAAATATATACCTTGATTACCATCATTTGATGTTACTGCAAGCAAATGCCCCTTATAACGCCCTTTCAAGAATGTACCATCAACAAACAACAACGAACGACAAAATTGATTACCATACAAACATCCATGAAATGCCACAAATAACCTCCGAAAACACCCACTACTTTCATCCACATCTAATTCAAACACACTTCCGGGATTCGTTCTCATACCCGTTTCAAGGTACTATCGAAGTTGGTCAAAAGAAGATATAAAATCACTAAACAACTAACCTCTTGCCTTATCAACTCCTAACCATGCAACTCGATATGAAACATCTATACCATACTGTTTCTTCAACTTTTTTTTTTAACTTCAATAGGACGAGTCAACAGATTATCACTAATATCATTATGCACAATATCAAAGACAAGTCTAGAACCAACCATTTTGCTACAAGATTTACGAGCAACAACCCCACAAGTATGCACATTATCCAACTTCATAATAAAAAAAATACTAGAATTCATCAACACCCTTCTATGCACAAATCATTTACAACTTATAGACAACTTTATCATACATTTAGTAGTTACTCTTGTTGCATCATTCTCCAAATAATTCACTGCAAAACCACACTCAACTGCATACTTAGCCAATGCAATGCGGAATACCGGAACTCCACTGTCAAATTCTTGACCAACATTGTGTATAATCCCCTTCCAACTAGCAGACAACAAAACTCTCTCTGATTCTGGATAAGAACTAGGCAACAAACCACCAAAATCATCACAATCGTTGACCAAAGAACTCTCACAAATTACAGAATCAATCATACAAGAATTATAATCAACCTCCACAATTCTCCTAGCACCCACAACAATATCAACAACATGAGAACCACTAGAAGCTACCATTGACATCATATTTCCCAAATCATCATCACATTCAACAATACAATTAGAATATCCAAGAATAGAGAAAAACAGACAACAGTTACCAACACTCAACTCCTTGAACTTCACACATATTTTCTTAACAATTCATGATAACTACATCCCTCACTAATCTTAATAGTAGCACTAGACTTACTATGTTTGCACATCAACATGAAATACCCCCCATATTACAAATCACAAATCAGCAAACAATTGTTCACAAATATCAAATTGCAAAATTATACAGTTACAATATATCAGTATCAAAACTTCCGAATTCATAATTCCAAACTACAAATTCAAAACACATTTCACTATACAACAAACAAAATCAAAATCATTATACTATATCACATATAAAAATCACAAAATAAGTATCAAATAAACAAAATCTATCACAAAATAAAGAACTATAACAACATTGACGAATACAAACCAGAAATTACTCAAATTTTCTTATCTATATATATACATATATATATGTATCGAGAGATAGAGACAGAGAGAGAGAGAGACACACACACACACACACAGAGCGTACACAGAGATTGCCTATACACAGATTCAGATTGCACAAAGTGATTGACTTCACAGAGAGAGATCGAGATCGTAGACAACCTCGCATAGGCGAGATCCACAATCTAATATTTATTTTTTTGCGTATATATATATATATATATCTCAAATCAAAGGGTAATACATTCATTTAAAAAATAAAAAAATAAAAAAATAAAAAATAGAATTTTCAGATATAAAACTTAAAAAATTGTGAATCTGTTAATCTATTAAAAAATATAATAAAATTAGAAAGGAAATAAATCCCCTACATACGACTACATAATAATTTTCTCAAATATTTTATATGAGCTTTAACCACGTCATCATGGGTGAAATTGGAGGCCTCAATTAAGGAAGGTGGCTAGATAATGGGTGATTGGGCGGGCTAGAGCAGACAGATGCATAACTGGATTGGGCTGGGCCACCATTAACTTTGATATAGCAACCATATATATATATATGCATGAGTGTGTATGTGCCCTCGCGACTCTCTCTACCCTATCGAATCGATAACTCTCGTACGCCAACAACTCTCTCTCTCTCTCTCTCTCTCTCTAACCCAACAAAAATCTTTCCGATCTCTCTTCTCCAGATCTCTCGTCGATATGTCTCAGGTAATTTAATCTTCTTCTTCACCGCTTAATTTCTCAATTTCTTCCTTTTAATTTTTCCCCCTGAATCAGATCGATTTCTCTCTCTAGAAGGTAGGGTATTTGAATGTCTGCCTGTATATTTTGATTGTTTGGTTCAATTCCATGGATGCGACAAAAAGTTAGGTATTTATGTATGAATAACCTGATATAAATATGTATTGTGGGGATTATGTATGCATATATTTCTGTATATTCGAGTAATCATTGGTGGAGCTGCATAAACCTACTCAAAATTGGGATTTTTTTTTTGCTTACATATGTATATTTATGCAAAAGTTTTGGGAGTTTCAGAAATTGAAGGCAGTGGAATAATTAGAAAATTTTAAATTGGGTTTTTTTGGTTTGTGCTTGAATCTTGGATTTGGAGAGTGATTTGTGGAGGCAAAAGGAAAGTCATTGGAAATATGAATGAAAGATAAGATATATATATATATATTTTTTTGCCCTCCCCTTCAAAAAATCTCTGCCCATAAAAAACTTTAGTATGTATGTGATTACAAGATATTCTTTTGGTCCTGTGATTACAAAATATCTTTTTTTTCTGTTTTTATGTGAAGGACTACCTTTTTTTTTTTATATTTTATATTTTTTTATATTTCTTAATCTCAGACAATGTTAAGAAAATCTTCAAAATTGAATTTGAAACTCTTACTTTCAAAATTACTTTTACTAATATCACTCGGAGTAACCTGGTTCCATTCCTCTATTTTAGGTGTCAGCAGCCAAGCGAGCTCGAACTGATGGTATGCGCTCCTCTGTCCTGTTTCTCAAGGATGGTTCACTTGTGTGTTTTATGTGTGTGTGTGTGTATATATAATATTCTTGTGTGTATTTATCATTTATTTGTATTTATGCTTGTGTCAATAGTTGACTCCATAGTTGTCAAATCGAGATTCGTATCGTGAATCGAAATGATCTTGTACCGAATCGCGAATCGAATCGAATCGTGAATCGTAAAGATTCGGTCACTTTTTTAAAATTACTTAAAAATATATATTTACACATCTAGATGTTAAATATATCTTATGGATATGAAATATTTAGACTTAAATAAATGAAAATGTTATTTTGCGTGATAATCACATAGTTTAATAGGTAAGAAGTTAACAAAGATTCTTATGTAAGATCACTATCTTACTTAAGATCACTATCTTACTTTTTTTCTTTTTAGATATTTTTTATCAACCATTCTTAATAAAGATAATAACCAAATAGACAAATTATCAATTTCCAAAATAACAATAATTAATAACGATATTGATATTTGGACAATAAGCATACGTACTTTTCTAAGTAACAGTGAGCAAATAATAAGAAAGAATTATTTAGAATATTTTATTTTAAAGCCTAAAACATTTTCAAAGGTATAACAGACCTCACATATGTAATATTCAATTATATTCAATTTAATAAAATAGTAATAGATAATTCATATTGTAACTTTAATCTTACACATCTTTAGAAGATATATTATGAATTTTTAAAGGGAAAAAAAATGAGAAGAAAGGTTAAAAATATGTTGGGTCTGACTGCATCTGATTGGATTCTATTAAAAATTTCATGATCACTAAAATAACAACAAATTATGTATATATGTTGGTTATTTTAGTATTAAACGCTATTAAAAGTTGTATTATGTCATTTTCACTAAAAACATGGAAAAAAAAATAGTCGAAAATATGCCGGACACAATAATTTAAAAAATTACATGAATCATAAAAAGTGAATTGAATCGTAAATCGATTGTGAATCGTGCGATTCACTAGAGATTTACTTCCAAAATAGATTCACCCATAGATTCGTATCGATTTTGCAAAAAATTTGAATCGAATCGCGAATCGTAAGATTTTGATAAAAAAGAGATTCACTTATAGATTCGTATCGATTTTGCAAAAATTGTGAATCGAATCGTGAATCGAATCGCGAATCGTAAGATTCTGATAACAGAGGTTGACTCGTATATATCTCATTTTCTTGGTTTATGATGGATGCTCATTTATTAATCTTTCTATGTTTGTAGGCGGTCGCAGGGAAGATGACTGGACCTGCCCTAGCTGTGGCAATGTCAATTTTTCATTTAGGACGACTTGCAATATGCGCAACTGTACTCAGTCTAGGCCAGCAGATCATAATTCTGTAAGATATGAAATTACGTGGCCTTTTTAAAATCCCCCTTCCCCATTCTTATCTTTTCCCTGGAATGAATGAGATCATTTAAGTACACATAATGTTTCTTATAGCAATTATGTAGCGAGATTCATGTATTAATTATTCATATTTTGTTTGATAAGTATGTTAATACTGCATTCCTATCTGGAGCTGTTCTTTTTACAAGGCACACTAATGCTTTTGCAAGCATTACCAGAATTTGCAAATACCCTCACGAATTATGTTTTGGAACGCACTTTCCGAAACATGTTACATTTTTGTTCCAAAACAGTAAATTTAGGCATCCAAACGATCCCAAAAGTATTTCCAATTTAACCTTGAGCAAGTTATGTTGTTATTTGATAGTAAATTTTTCTTCCGAATTCCAATTTTAGATGTCTTGTGTTTGCCCTATTGTGAAAATAGTTGTGATCACTCAGTGTTAAATTCTTCCAACCTAGTTTCTTTCTTTCCCATGTTTCAGAAATCTGCTGCAAAGCCCATGCAACCCATGCATGGCTACTCATCATCAGCTCCCTATGTAGGCTCTGGTGCACCCTCGTCAATGTACATGGGTGTGCCACCTTATGGCTCTTCTCTTTTCAATGGATCATCCATGCCTCCTTATGATGTTCCATTTTCTGGGGGTTCTGCATATCATTACAACTATGGTAGCCGCCTTTCAGGAGGCAGCCCATATAGACCTCTGCATCTATCTGGTCCAACACCATATTCTAGTGGATCGATGATGGGAAATGGTATGTGCTCTCGTGTTTCTAATTGGTTAGATATTTTTAAAACAATATTTGTAACTGCTATAATACTTTTTCTGCTTCATGGTTATGCTTCCATTTATCTACTCTACTTTTGTTTCTAAAACTGCTCCCCTCAACGCACTCCCCATATACACATCAAGGAAGAATGGTAATTGTAGTATTAGGGTTTTGTTTTAGTAGATATACACATATTGAAGGCTTGTCAATATGATAATTGGCTCAACTGACTCGTGGTCCTGATCCACAACCTCTATTCTTTATGGTCAGCACATTATTCTGCAAACCCTACCCTTATTCGGTTGCACATTTTATCTCATTTACCGTTCTTGGGTGCTGCTTTTGTAAATTTCTATTTTTATTTCTTTCAGGTGGGATGTATGGTATGCCACCCATGATGGACCGCTATGCCCTGGCTATGCCCATGGGCCATGCTGGCATGGTATGTGTAAACTGTAAACAGTTCATCCTAATGTCTATAGTTGTTAACTTGGTACTTTGTTTGCAAAGAAGCATATTGCTTCACAATAATGTCTTTGAATACATGCTACGTTCATAACCATCTTGAAGTTACCAATTTTTTTTTAGAATCTTACGTTTTGTATATTTTCATGTTTTGGAAAAGTTTTTCACTTCACCCCCTCCTGTACCTGGAAGCCCATCATTTTTTTCTTTTTTCTGTTTTCATTTTTTCTTTTCATGTAGTGTTGAAAGCTCTTTCATCGCAGTAGATTTTACCTGTGTTGGATGTTTGACAGAACTCATGATTGAAATTTTTTTTATGCAGGGACCAAGGCCAGGATTTTTTCCTGAAGATAAATCTCAAAAGAAAGGTGCAAATTTTGTCATAGCTTGGCTGTTTTTGAATCTCAAAGACTAATGGTTAGGCGTCATGCTACCTCTTTTTGTACTAACTTTATCTGCCTGTCTTCCAATATACCTGTAGATGGAACGCGTGATAATGACTGGACGTGTCCTAAATGTGGCAATGTCAACTTCTCTTTTAGAACAGTTTGTAATATGAGGAAGTGCAATACTCCAAAGCCTGCGTCTCAGGTGAGAGCTACTTTTATTTATAGATTTCACAAGCCTTAAATACAAAAATATCAATGGATGACAAAGTTTCTTGTTTTCAATATTTAAAATGTCATTGGTGTTATGGCTTGCATCAAGTAAATGGATGCTTCGACATGTGTTTAAAAATTGTTGACCTGAAATAATATTTTCTTGAATATGCAGGTCGCGAAGTCTGAGAAGAATTCTAGTAAGTTCTTTTAAACCTACATTTTGGCTGGCTGGATTGTTTAATATGATAATACTCATAATATCTTTTGTCTTGATCTTGTAGAACCGAAGATGCCTGAAGGGAGCTGGAAGTGTGAGAAATGCAATAACATAAACTACCCTTTTAGGACCAAGTGTAACAGACAAAACTGCGGGGCTGATAAGCCATCTGACGCAAAGGAGTCCCCTTCAGAACCAGCTGATGAAAATGATCAGGTCTGTTGTGTGATATGTTTATTTCTCACGTTCTTTTGTTGCTTGAAATTGTCATTCAGTTTGTTAACCATCCATGTATATATTACAAACTCAAAAAGTAATCAAGTTTACAATCTGTCTCTAGTTACTTGACTAGTAGTGGATGCTTTTATGTTTTCAATTTTGATAGTTCTTCTACCTCGGCATTTATTGATTTCATAATTGTCTACTGTTCCAGTGAGTTCTAGGACATGTTTGAGGGTTGGGAAGGTCCAGAGTTGTCGTCCAGTCCAGCAATTGCTCAGTATGGGTGTCTGAAAGTCAGTCATGTCGTCGTCTTCATGTTGCAGCGGTTTGTCGAGTTACTTACTCTTGCCTTATCATGATCTGTGTGTCAAGTTGTATAAACTGGGATGGAATTTGTGTGGTCTTTTATGGATCCCCTATTCAGCTGCATTATTGTGTCTGCTAGCTTTGTCTGGCAAGATTTTTATGGTAGGTTATGGTTACATTTAGATAGGATTTTGTTCTATGTTAAAATATGCATTTGACCTATGCTTTAAGTTGTGGAAGGTCCTACTGCAGCCCTCTGTTTATTTTGAGTAGTAGTCTCTGCTCTAGCATCTCTAGCAGCAGATGCTTCTCTCCAGGATGATAATTAGGTTTATGTGTCCCACAATTGCGTGGGGCGGCAGTCACAACTTAAGATAAATTTCAAGGCTAATGACTGAGAATTTGTGCTAGGTGTAGGCCACCGCCAAGTCTGAACCAGGTAAACAGGAGGGGAATCAAACCCTGATTGGTAGCGTGGGAGCATACCCACTTTTGCTTTGATTTTAGTTGAACTCTCCATGTTTGAGGTTCTGCTATGGTGGCTGGGAAAGTGATGCATGATTGTCTACTAACACGGCTAGTTTTTAGTTTTTAGTTTCATAAGTAATATCAATTTAGTCCATAACTGAAGATCCTTTTAGTCATGATCAAAGTCATCTCAATGGCCTAACTAACTCTATGTTATCAAAATTTGTAACAGGATGTTATCAGCTTTGATTTGATAATTTGATAATCATTCCACCACAATTGTTTATAATTTACCATTGTAATGATTTGTAATCAATATCAATTAAAACCAGGATGATCTTTAAGGGAACCTTGTGTAAGCTTTCATTCCTACTGAACCAGACTCCTTTTTGCTGGCAAGCCTTTTAGCTCTCACAACAAAAGTGCTCTATGTTTTACATTAAAGATTTTTGAGTCAAATATGATTTGGAAAACATTAAAGAGCATGACAGAATAAAGAGAGAAGAGAATTTAGTAGCCCAAGATTTTAGTTTGATTTTACTTGCATCTTTGATTTTCTAGCTTGAATTTATCTATGAAATTAACCGATCACACATTTTTGAGAATGCCAAGGCCAGGCCTAAGTTTCGAAGACAACTAGAAAGTTCGAAGACAACTAGAAATTATTCTCCGCCTATCACGTGACCACGCAAATGGACATCTTGTTTAAAAAATAGTAGACAAGACAAAAGTGTATATGTAATCTCTTACCATTGAAATAGCACACTACAAGTGTACTATAAGTAAACCTAGCTAGATAATTTCTCGAAGACAAAAAAATAAATACACACCCAGACCAAAAATTTCACAAATTAGAAAACCTAAAACAGTAGGTATTCGGATCTGCATTTGAGGTTGGTCCCTTTAATATTTGTCCTAACGAAATAAATTGGAACTATGATAAACCATAAAATTGTTGGATGACATCAGGCACACAAAATTTGAATCTTCCACATGAAATGAATTTGATAGTCAAGTAGTGCAATACTAAAACAAAAGATTTTTTTTTTTTTTTTTCTTTTTAAGAAAGATAAAAAGCAGTTATATTAAGATAAAACAAACAACATACAGAGTAAAATAAAAATAACAAGACCCTAAAGGGCCAACCAAACAACAAAAACAAATTTGTCGATTCAAGGAAAATCACCAATCTTCTCCCAGAGTTGAAAAAGATAAAGACAGTTAAATCAAAAATTTGTTTGGCAAGCAGTGAGGGCTCTGAGACCAGATTGTTAGCTGTCAAGGGACGATTTACAACTCCATCGAGCCAAAAAGCCTTACCATGAACCCTGAGAATCAATAAATAGATTTATCAAGGCTAATTTAACTAGTTGATAGTAACACTCCGTTTGTTTCGGCACAAATTGGTTTACCATGTTTGGTTGCTAGCTTAAAACTGCTAGTTATATTAATGGTGGGGTGGTGGTGGTAAGAGTTAAGAAAAAACATGTTTTCCACCTTTGAAAAGTGAAAACATTTTCTGTCCAAATAAACTTGTTTTGACCACCAAAAAATAATATATATTTCCATCTTTCATTTTCCATCCCACCAAAGGTGTAAAACTGGAAAAAAATGTTTTTCCGCCGAAACAAGCAGAGCAAGAGCATAAATGGTTTAACCAACCCGTTCATTCCCATTTTGGAAACATCATTAAATAAAAAAATAAAAATTATGGATGTTAACATCTAACCTTATCAGGAAGGGAACAGCTGAATGGAGTCCGAGTTGTCAGTTCAACAGATTGGATGACTTGAAGACCTTGATTCCCTGGAAATGGCCACTGTCATTTGTAGTCAAGCTATGCGCACGTCGGGCATCGGTAGACCATTCAGATTGCCAGTATTCTGAAGAAGTTAGTGGCAAACCTTGGGGAAGCATCGCAAACTGAGGCATGCTAGTGAAATTTCTTTGAATGGGGTGGTCAGGTATGATGTTTGGTGACTCAGAACCCCAAGAATCAGTTGACAGAAGAGAGAGAGCACGATGAAGATTGGGCACTGCATCCAAGTTGGAAGAGAGCATAGATTCCTTCGGACCTGCAAAAGTTACATGTATGACTTGAATCAAATATTTCACTTATGGAGGGATAAACACTCAAAACAAGAAGGAAATAATCTAACAGAATAAATGAAATTGCAATTTGTGGGAAAGTGGTAAAGATTGAGACATTGAGTTGTGCCAGGAAAAGATTTTCCCGCACTCATGTTTCCTCTAGGTCCCCAGTTCTGAGAATGCCATATTCTTCCCTTCTTCAACATGACATACAAAAGTCTCCACCTGTCTAGTATGAATATCCCCTTATCACTTCTCATTTTGTAAAAATGGAATTGTATATCCGAATTCTAATTTACACCAACAACATAATTTTCAGAAATAAATTATTTCTGAATGATAAGTAGCAGCTGAAACACATTCATGAAAATTTTTGGTTCAGAACTTATTTTCTTCTAAGGTTCTTGAAATTGAGTGAAATGATCAAACAGGACATCATTCCATAAAATAAGGGTTTTGGTCCGACTCCAAATACGTGATGGCCTACTTTTGGAATTCTCTATAATCACAGAAGAAACTACCGACAACATTGAGCCAAGGCAAGAAAAAGAATGCATAATGCCAGGGGTACATAGTTTTTTAGAGGGATTGAGAGGTAAAGATATTAGATCAATCAATCACTTCTTCTGTCGCAACCATCTATTCAATTACAAAAAAATGCACAAATCATCCCAATCACAACTTTTTTTCATTGGTTAAAATAGCCAAAAAGCCAACTAAAATAGCCAACATCCCAAACGAGGCCTAAGTGAACAAGCGGTGCTAGCCAAATCATCCATTGCAACCCATGAACCTGGTGCTTTCCTTGCATAAATTGAATGGTACTATCGACCAACTAAACTCTACCAGCAGTATGACGTTAAACTATTTCAACAACATTTAAGGCTCAATTTCCTGCCAAAGAAGAAAGACAAACCTCGAGTGAAAATCTCAGCTCTGGTGTTCTGACCAAGCATACTGATGGAATGTGAGAGCTCAATGCCTGGTAATTGCGGCTGCCCATCGATGCCTCCAGTTTTTCCAGATCTCGATAGGTGCCCTTTTGTTAGTGTGAAGTACTTGGAACTGCATGCGCTTTCCCAAGTAGGATTTGCAGAAGATCTTGTGCGAAGAAGTGGGGTATTGTTCAGTGCAAAACACATCTGTTGCTTCCCATCTGTGCATTAGTATTAGATTAGATCAAACTAAATGCATAGGTATGGTGAAAAACCCACAACGATACTCATAATGATTCATTTGTTATACTTTAAACCATCTTCAAATATACTCCTGAAATATTTTTTTATTATTCAATTACTTCATAATACATGGATTAATGAAACAAGTAGAAAATGTCCAAATAAGAACAATAAAATAAATTAATCTAGGGATACATTACCTACAGATACAATAGCCTAATCACTCGCATTTGGTATATCTCCAAGAGTTTTCTTCTTCTTCCTTCTTTGTTCAAAGAATTAAAATCTCCAAGAATGCCAAGAGTTTTTCACATAATAGAATTATCAATAATTAAAATGTGATGTGATTGTTAAGTGAAGTTAACTATTTTATTAGGAAACAAAAGATAATGTTATTAGAGAAATCTACTTCATTTTCTCAACTTTAAAGTGTTCCTTGTTATGGTTGAATTGGTTAAATGAAAAGATAGAAGCAAAATGACATTTCCATATGTGAGTACCCCAAAAACACTTTTGGGTTGCACGGTTCCTTGTTGCTAGTGCAGATGCCAGAAGTTCGTCAAAAAAAGAAGAAATCAGAAATTGAGATATCAAATCACATTTTCTCGAGGGAAATCACGGCTCAAAACTAAAAAGCAGTATTGTGTGGCATGTTCAAATCCTGTCTACTCAAATTCAACACTAACAAGGATGCACTCTCACAAAGTTTTGAGTTAAAAACAATATACCCAAAAATGGAGAAGACAGCAGCATTGATGAATCAAACTGAATTGCATCTTGTTGTGGTTTGCGACGACGTGCATTATGATCAGAAAGCCGCTTACGACAGCTTCGCTTCTTCTCATCAAATTCTGACAAATTGTGGAACCTTCAAAATTGCAAACAAGCCGCTGTTGTGTCAAAATCGCTCATTATAAGCAAAGAGAAGGGCTCTAAGCAGAGTAGAATGAATATACAATAGATACTCATTATAACCAAAAAAGATTTGAGGTGACAACATCAAGAGATGGATGCAACTATCAGTCTAAAAGATGCAGGCAAGGGCAACCATGAGGAACCTGACAATTTTAAGTTATGGAACAAAGCAGTCCTGGGTTCAGGTTTTTCTACATTGTCATACAAAGTTTACCTGCTACATTGTTGGCAAAACCGACGTTCTAGACCACATACAACCACCTTTGCGCATTTCGAATGACTCTCACAAACTCTATGCTTCCGATGATACTCTTTAGCCGATGAGAGGTCAAGGTTGCAACCTTCAACTTGGCAGCGTGGGCGATGCGTCTGACTAGATGATTTTATTTTCTTTGCTGTGGAGGCAGCAGATGATACAGGAATCACAGACAAAGATGAAGTCTTAGCATTATCCCCAGCATAATTATTTTCAAAATATGTCCGCTTACCAAGCTTCAGACCAATCAACAGTTCACCAGAGCTAACTGAAGGCTCCAGTGGTAGAGAAGTTCCAGCTAACTCAGTTCTGGCCAATTCATTCTTCTTGCCAAAATCTTCAGGAAAATCATGAAATGCCTCGACAGCAATCTTTGACATTTTTGATATCTCCTTTGATGAAGAATCCATGGAAGCTGATACTGAGCTCCTTGCTGAAGAACCATGTGCCAAATCAGAGCTGGAACCAACAGCTCCACCCCCAGATAGATTAAAAGACACTGTATCAATTTCTCCCTCCCCAATTTCCCAGTCTGTTGGTTGCTTCTTAGGACTTTCAACAGTTTTTGAATTGAACGTGATTAGGTTTTCCCAGTCCCACTTAGCATTCCAATCCATTGCAGATAGAGAGTTTATGTTTTCATTTCACTCAATCTTCCTCGCCACAGAATGCACAAGCAACTGGGTATCAGATCTGCATCTTTAACATGCAGATAAATCAAAGTTAATTTAGATAGAATAACATCTGATTTAAAAAAACTACAATTAAAAAAAGGAAAGAAAAATACAATAGATCATGTAAAAGGCAGAAAGAACACAAGAACAGAACTAAAACTATTAAGATGTTCTAGAAAGATTGGATTACAAGAGATGTAGTGGATGAGTAATCCATGTCACAAGAAGAAAAAGACTATCTTTAAGACTCAGCCCATGAACCTGCAGAGCATATCTATTTCAGGAGATTGATGAATTACACAAAGTAAATGCCAAAATTTCCTTTAAATAAGTATCAATCACTTGTTTCAATCATCCACAGGAATGGTGGTGGGGCTACTTGGGGACCAGAGGGGGCTGCTCCCCCTGAATTACAGTTTGCCTATTCATAATTTCTTTTCTTTTTTTTATTTGGATTACACCTCTGAAATTGTATGTCACTTAATCTAAATCTTTTAAAACTCTACTCTCTTTTTTGCTATCAAAAAAATCCCTGCAATTTGCTCCCTCTAAAGGTTATTTGTACTGTAAATTCTCCATTATTTATTTCACATATAACATAATCACAATGCTTAAACTTATCTTGTTCTGTCTTTCTCTACTTAAACCTCTTTGTTCTCTCTCTCTTCTTATTACTAAATTAAGTGAAAATCCAAGCATTAAAGTTACCTGGGCCATACCTGGACTTAAATACCTTCCTGCTACAATTCGAGAATAATAACAATGACTGCAGCATAACACCGAAAATAGTTGCAGTAATCTGAGAATATTAAGCCAAATTTTACACGGTTGTATTTGGTTTGGGGAAGATAGAGTGCAGACATTGTTCTAGTACTTTTTCCTTTACTAAGCAAAGAGCTCAATAATTTGCTCAGAATAATCTATAAATAATCCTTTTAACACTTTGGTATGCACGGGCAAGGAATGCTAATCCAACAAAATTTAGAGAAGGGATAATTCGATAAAGAATCGAGTTACTAGAGTATGTAGCTTACACATTAGTCTTGGGATTCTTTGAAGTGGTTCATTATATATTATTTATCATTGCAAATTACACAAATACTTCATTAAGAGAAACATTTTATTGATACGTATACACACTCAGTCAACAATATATTTAACATAAATGTGAATATGATAATTTTTGGTCAGCTGTAAGTATTATTATTTTTGTATACAGAAAACACAACCCTTTGGCTGAACTTAATATTGCCCCCTCTAAGCCAAAATTCTGACTTTGCCACTGCACAGGAACCACTGACCCTAACCCAAACTTCAAAATATGCACACGCACTCACCGAGTGAGAAAGAGAGAGAGAATTAACTAAGGTGAAGAGATATTTTATCAAGCAGTTTGCCTCCATAGCTAAGCATGCAAGTAGGTATTCTGAGCCAACATATAATTGATATCCAAACAACTAATATGCACAAAACTCAGAACTCTGCTACTCCAAGTTTTCACAATTGCCAGGTTTGACCTAATAATTTAGCATTTTACTACTATGACTATCCAAAATTTGTAAAAACCTAAATTCGTAATCGAGACATAGTAAAATAGCACAGAGCAGCTCTCTCCCTCTTTCTCTCTCTCTCTCTCTCATTATTTCAAGAGATACTGGAAATGTCTCATCTTTACTTGCCACGTACATATAAGCTGTAATTTGACGCTTTCAGTAGCAACATTAGGCAACCAGCATGAGCATGATTGGTTTGGACCCTAGCTAAGTAGTAAAATTATGCTCCAACAATTTACACCGAACATACATCCTCAACCTAAACCATATGTATCTAAACGCCTAATAGATCAAATTAGTGCAAAAAACAAACCCAGAAGAAATACTCAACAAAAAAGAATGCTTTCACTGAATCATTGATCAACAATGAACAAATAATAATAATAATAAAATAGCTCAATTGTTTTGCTCTAACTATCATTGACATGAGCATTTACTTTACCCATTGACTTTCCTAAAGAGGAAATCCTTATAAACTTTTTTCAGGGTTTTGAAGTGAACTGTCAGAAACAACCACTTACAAACAAAGCTATGGCATCCTTTCTAGGGTTTCATTGAAACAAGAGAAAATCTTTACATAGGAAAAAAAAAAACATCTTTACCGTTTCCAAAGCAAAAACTCATCAAATTTTGGAAGTAACAATAAATTGAAGTACCAAACATCGACTAATTTGAAATAAAGAAGCATATGTTTCACCGAAATTGGGGTAAAATAAAAAAATTTAAAAAAACTACTGTATTAACAACTACAAATTTAATGCAATCGAGTTGATTCCTGTAGTATGCTCAATAATTTTTCTTCTAGGGTTCATAGCAACAGTAAGTTGAGGAAAAGTAAGCCAAATCGTAACCAGAAATAACCTCGAAACAGCTTTATATTTTCTTTTCTCGCAAATTCCGAGAAAACGAAGGAAAATGAGCGGTTTTTAACAGTGGCTGTTGAAAATATGATATGATTACTGCTCCTTTTGGGTTTGTATACGGATATGTTGTGAGAGGCTTACCGATTCAGAAACACTCAATGCATATTTTTTACAAGGAAAAGCTAGGAAAATCGGACGGTTTTCCACTTTACCAAATGGAGAAAGTGGACGGAGATGGATAAAAGGAGGTGGTGTCACACTTGAGTAAAAATTTGATGAAATGCGATGTGATGTGACGTGTGCTTGTGGTTTTGTTTGATTGTTTTTAGAGTAATGATAGCGATATCAAATTTTTTACCAAATAAATGATCAAATGTCTCATATGGGAGTGGGTGTGGAGTTCACAATTTTGTGGCCCTATACCCATGTGAGATATTCAGTCATTTATTTAGTAGAAAATTTAGAACTTCTAGCATTTTCCTTGTTTTTTTTTTTGTTTTTTTTTTCTTGTTTCATGTGTATATGATGTGACGTGTTCCTGTGGTTGGTTTGTTTGTTTTTGTTTTTATTTTTATTCTTATTTTTTCCCTTATTATATGCGTAAAATTTCCTTTAAAGTTCAAATTTTAAAATTTTCTATTATTGTTCAAATTTGATTTGATATAATGATACGTTATTTTTCAATTGTTCCATTAAGGGGATGTTTGGGAAGTTAGTTTTTAGGTTTTTTTTTTATTTTTTTTTTTTTACTAAAAGACAAATTAGTTACAAAATAAATAAAAAAAAACGAATTCAAATAAAATATCACGTCAAACCTCATAATCATTTCACTTTTTCTCTCACAAATATCACATCTAATCACAAAAAAAATTTAACTATCTTCCTAAACACCCACTAAGTTTGACCGATTGTCTAGTTAATTATCTTGTTAATCGTCTGTAAAATTTGATAAAAAATTAAACCTTTTTTTAATTTGATGAAAAATTTAACCTCATTTTTATTTGATGTGTTTGTTACCATAGTTAGAGTAGAAAAAATAGACAGGGTTTCATCCAATTATCTGAGTAAGTATTGGAAACGCTTTCAAAAAATAACGTGCGAGTGATTTTTAAAGATTATGGTTTCCTTTGGAAAGTTGGTTTGGCTTTTTAGCATTTTAGGTCTCGTTTGGGGAGTGATTATTTTAGTCAAAAAGTCAAAAAGTTAACTAAAACTTGTCACGTCACCTCTTTACTTTTCTGCACATCTTTTCATAAAAAATCAAAAGGTTACTAAAATAGCCTGTTCCCAAACCAGGCCTAGTCTCGGTTAAAAAATTCATTTGAATTGATTTTTTTGACTTTTATAAGAGAAAAAATAAAATAATTATAGTTAGAATATAATATTTTATTTTATTAATTTTTAATCTATTTTATCTTTTATACTAACTTAATCAAAAAATCAACCTAACCCACCCCACATCCAATCGACACCTATAATTGACCACTTAACTATTAATCAAATAATATTTTATTTTATTGGGGGATTTGGTGATAACTCCCTCACTATCTAATTTGTCTTTCAAAATGACAAGAATTATATAAGTATTTTCAAAACCCCCTAATATTTTAAAACTTGTTTCTTTTACCATATTACCCTCATAAAATTTTACTTTGTATGAAAGTAAAATTTTATTCTGTATGAAAGTAAAATTTTATATTCTTAAACTAAAAGTAAAATTTTACTCTGTATAAAAGTAAAATTTTACTCTGAAAAACGAGTAAACTGTGAGACTTTGAAGCTAAAAGTAAAATTTTACTCTGTATAAAAGTAAAATTTTACTCTGTATAAAAGTAAAATTTTACTCTGAATAAAAGTAAAATGTTACCCTCTGAAACTAAAAGTAAAATTTTACTCTGTATGAAAGTAAAATTTTACACTGTATAAAAGTAAAATTTTACACTCTGAAACTAAAAGTAAAATTTACTCTGTATGAAAGTAAAATTTTACTCTGTGTGAAAGTAAAATTTTACATTCTGAAACTAAAAGTAAAATTTTACTCTGTATAAAAGTAAAATTTTACTCTGGTTATGTCAAATGAAAAAACAGAACAATAGAACCAGAGTAAAATTTTACTCTGGTTCTATCAAATGAAATTTGATAAAAAACAACAAAAATAAATCAAAAACAAAACAAACAAAAACAAAACAAATTAATCAACAAATCAACATATCTAATTGAGAAGAAAAACTTCTAAAACTCGATCAACAATCACAAATCTCAATGAAAAGAATACATATGTTCAACAACACTCATACACATATATATATATATATATACATATATTCTCAAAATCTTGAATGAGGAATGTAACCATGATGGTGATAAAACCTAGACAATATTTAATAGAATTAAAATTCAATATTCTGGATTAGTGATGCTCAACTTTTAAAGCTTACAAACAAAAAATTCCTAGAATTGAACACGTGTTCAACAACCTCCAAACCTCTCACGAACAAAGCAAAACACTCCACAGTAACACATGTTCAGACAGCCAGTTGTTCTTCGTCTGTGAACACGTGAAGGCAGACACTCTACAGCGCAAAAAATTCCTCAACTTTTAGTGATGCTCCACTTCTTCTTCTGATATCTGCATATATATATATATATATATACATATACACATATCTAGGGTAAGATATGAAGGTAGATAGCCATAGTAACCAGACTCAGAGAGTTGCATTCGCCGGCCTCTTGGTGCTCCTCCTCCCAATCTTTTCCTGCAATCTCTTCGATCCCTTGGGCCGCGCTTCTCCTTCCATGTTCTTCGTACGTCTCTCTCTCTCTCGCCGCAAAAAATTCCTCAACTTTTAGTGATGCTCCACTTCTTCTTCTGATATCTATATATATATATATATATATATACATATACACATATCTAGGGTAAGATATGAAGGTAGACAGCCATAGCAACCAGACTCAGAGAGTTGCATTCGCCGGCCTCTTGGTGCTCATTCTCCCAATCTTTTCCCGCAATCTCTTCGATCCCTTGGGCCGCGCTTCTCCTTCCATGTTCTCCGTACATCTCTCTCTCTCTCTCTCTCTCTTTCTCTCTCTCTCTCTCGCCGCCGAATCTGTAGATTTGAACTTCTCCCCATCAAAATGGTGTAGATCTGAGAAGTGTAGCCAAGGGTATAATAGTCTGATAAAATATTTAAATAATAAATTTTGTCCTTTATATAGGATTTTATAATTATGAGGGGGTTTAGAAAGTATAATTTTTTTCTTAGTCCTTTTAACAATGAAAGGAAGGTAAAGGGGGTTTATAGCCAAATTTCCCTATTTTATTTTGTATTTATCACTTTGTTTATATTAATCCTTTAATTAGGGTGGGGAAATATTAAAGGTAAGTTTGGGGAGTTGTAGTAATGGTAAAAAGTCACTAAAAAAATTTAGAAAGTTAAAAAATTATATAAAAAGTTAAAAATTTGATTTCATCTCTACTTTTTACATATTTTTTTAATAAAAAGTCAAAAAATCATCACAATATTTTTTTCACTTTATATTTTAGTCAAAAAAATTAAAAAAATTATTCAATAAATAAAGTATTGAAAATTGAAGGAAACTTTTCACTTTTCAGATAAAGCATAACCCCTACTCTTTATTGTTTAGTTAAAACAAACTATGACTTTTTTTTTTGTAAAATAGAATTTGTCTTTAAAAAAATTAGAATTGTTTTTGTAAAATTAGGATTTGTTTAGTCCGCGAACCCGATCAATATCCACCCTGTCAATTTGTCTAACCCACTCAATCAATTTCAAAACAATGAGTGGTCTGATGTGGATGAAGTTTTCTTAACCTGAACCTCATTTAGATGGGTGGAGGATGACATGCCACCCACCTAAATCCAACCCATGAGTACCCCTATCCTTGACTATGAAAATTATACAAAAATATCTCTTCTAAAAATGGTCTAAAATGATGAAAATAATACTTTTGCATAGTTTTAGGTACAAAATTGTAAGCCCAATTCCTCTCTAAACCAAGGAAGCCACGTAAGCCCAATTACTCTCTAATCCAAAAAAGTAGGCCATAGCCAATTGGATTGGGTCGAATCAAGTCGGAACCCCATTACTTTTCCAAGCTTTACTATAAAAAGGGAAGTCGATGGTAACTAACCGTTCAACGGGTCTATATCTATCACATTCACAACACAGGACCACGAAGAAGAAGAAGAAGAAGAAGAAGAATCACATCATCCTCAAAACTTCCTATCTTTGGTTGCCAAAATCAATGGCAAACCGCACAGAAGAAGACGCACCGCAATTGAAAAAGCCTAGAATTCATGGCCCAAAAGACAACATTGCAAGAATAATTTTGTTTTTATTTTTTTTATTTGTAGGTATCCTAGCCAACTTTTGCACACCAGATTAAGTTCTTACAATCTAAACAAGCCTTTCAAAACAAGTTTCTATACGGTCCGTGGCCTCAAGGTTTTATGTTGGTTAGGGGATTGAACCTAAGACCTGAATAGCCTCCTAAACCCCAGGCCTCGAGCCACTAGGCCAACCCCTTTCTTTTTTGTTTGTCACCATTAATGGCAACATATCCATTTAATGACTTTCCCTATCTGGCTTTGAATCAATACATTTTTATTTTTTCAATTTTTTAGATTCTATTTTGAATAATGTTTTTCTTTTGAAAATCGACGAGATTGTTCCAATTACTATGAAAATAAGAATCA